AAACTCAAACCCTTGGGCTTAAGCGATTCTCTTGCCTCAGCCTCCCAGGTTGCTGGGACTACAGGTGCCCGCCACAACACCCAGCTATTTTTTTTGTTGCTGAAGTTGTCATCATTTACCTGCCTGGGCTGGGTTCGAACCCAGCTTCCTCAGTTTGTGTGGCTGGTGCCAGGCCAGAGCTTATTGATATTTTGAGTGAAAAGTAAATGTAGTTTTAAAAATATTAATGTGTTAACTGGGTATAATGGCTCATGCCGGTAATCCTAGTGTTTTGGGAGGTGGAGCTGGGAGGATTGCTTAAGGCCAGACGTTTGAGGCTGTAGTGAGCTGTGATCATGCCACTGCTCTTGTGTCTGGGCAGCAAAGCTAGACCCTGTTTCCAAATATAGATTTGAGAGAGACAGAGAAAGAATTTTACATCCTGAATTATTACTTGTAACTCTTTAGCATGCTGGAAGGAAACTATGAGGCTGTGGTCCTTCATGAAGTTTATCAGTTACTAAGTCTCGTCCTCCTCCCAGCCTCCATGTCTTTTTCTAAACATGCCTTCTGTCCTTGCTTGCCCGCAGTTCTGAGACAAGGCCTGGCGTTCAGTCAGATCTACCGCTTTTCCTTGTCCGACGGCACTCTCGTTGCTGCGCAGACAAAGAGCAAACTCATCCGCTCCCCGACGACTAATGAGCCTCAGCTTGTAATTTCTTTACATATGCTTCACAGGTAAGCCTGGTCCCAAGAAATCATTTTCCCTTGCCAGCTCTTCGGGTTTGTTAAACACTTTTAAAATATAAAGTTAATTTGTTATGAAATAAAGACTAAATAAAAGACAACTCGTAACAACCCTCTTTATCCATGGGTTCCACATCCAAGGATTCAGCCAATTGCAGACAGGAAATAGTTGGAGGAAAGAGAGTAAAAAATGTTGAATTTAAAAGTACTGTATAACAACTATTTACATAGCTTTTACATTGTTATTAGCTATTATAAGTAATCTGGAAGTGATACAAAGTACTGGGAAGGACTTCTGTCGGTTATATGCAAATGATACATTATTTTTATTAGAGACTTGAGCCTCTGTGGGTTTAAGACCCAGCAGGAAGAGCACAAGCCTAGCTCTGACTTTGCTTGGACATGACTGGCTGTACACTGAAGAAGGAAAATGATCAGCTCTTAGTAGTGACATGTGTCAGACAGGAGTATTGGTGCCCAGTATTATGATTTTTGCTCCTGTATATTTAAAACTCTCAAATGTATATACTTAGAATATTTTAGATGTTTCCCATTTTTAAACTTTTTTAAAGTTCAAATTAACTTTTTGACAATAGACTTTAAATTGAAAGGTAATAAACATTTTTATAAAAAGGGGAAGTAAAGTAATTGAATTTTTTTAAAATAAATGTCATAAACCAGATTGTTTTAGAGCATACTTTTAGGAAATCAATTAAATCTCAGGTTACATAAATATTTATGTATATGCTATATAAAACTTTATGAAGTACTATCAAAAGAGATATAAAGTTGCTCTGGCCGCAGAGTCCTATTCACTTTCTTAGGAATTAAAAAAAAAAGATCAGGCAGCCCTGTTTGCCATCCGTTAATAAATCTGACCTCAAACTGAAACAATTTGAAGTTATTACAGATGTGGCAGATTTCATCCACCTGACTGAAGGCTGATGTCTAACAATTTGAGAACCTGTTTTATTTGGATTTGTGAACGCATTTGGTAACTTACAAGTGACTGCCAAGACTGTGAATTAAAGTTCATAGGGCTTATAAAGTCATTTTCCGCAGAAAACCTGCTTATAGTCACCAGTAAGGAGATGGGCTGGAGTTGCCCGAGAGGAAGGTCATAAGATCACAAACCAAGGCACCTCCTGTGTTGTTGGCTCTGGCTTGCAGTGGGGTGAGCAGGTGCATGGGAGTCTATTAGACAAGATGATCTATTCTCAAGGAGTTTGAGTCATTCTGCTGGTTCTAGAACTGGCTGTTTCTCTAACAGTTAGGGATAAGTTTTTCCCCCTAAATTTGTTGTTTATCTTTAGCCAAGTAGAACATGCCAGAGTTCTCCAGGCTTATGAATGTATCTATTGTTAGGAATTGTAATCTCTGGCAAAGAATTGTAGTCAGCTCTGTTGGGGTCATTTATTTAAGACAGTACATGCTCTCAGTTGCTTTTGAGGAAGATACATTATGAAATTGGAACCTTGCTAACATCTATCTAGTAGCTGCTATTTCAGTATGGCAGTAGTCAAATTTAAACACATCCCCTCTGCAAAACCACAGATACCTTAATGAAAAACGTCCCACTTGGTCCAAAGCTGTACATGTTCAGTCTTGTCCATAATGGCACATGGTTTCATCAAAGTGTTGTCTATCCTTTACATGTCTGTTGTCTGTCCTTTTAAAGGAGGCAATCTTCTTATATATTTCTTTATTTCCTTATTATACAGAGAGCAGAATGTATGTGTAATGAATCCGGATCTGACTGGACAAGCGATGGGGAAGCCATTGAATCCAATTAGCTCTAGCAGCCCTGCCCATCAGGTCATGTGTGGGAACCCAGGTCAGGACATGACCCTCAGTAGCAATATAAATTTTCCTATAAATGGCCCAAAGGAACAAATGGGCATGCCTCTGGGCAGGTTTGGTGGCTCTGGGGGAATGAACCACGTGTCAGGCATGCAGGCAGCCACTCCTCAGGGTAGTAACTATGCACTCAAAATGAACAGCCCCTCACAGAGCAGCCCTGGCATGACTCCAGGACAGCCCAACTCCATGCTCTCACCACGACATCGCATGAGCC